GTCGCGGGCAGTCACTTTTTGCAGTTGCTTCCACTTGTATACTTGACTTGTACTTCTGTCAGGGGAGCACCAAGGGATCAGGTTCCTGATCTGGTTCTTGTGCACACTGCCCAGATTGTCTTGAGTTGAGTCAACTGAATGGTGTTTTGTACAAACTCATTATAGGTACACCTTGATTACATCACTTGAAGTGATGTGAGAACTTTAGTTGGTCAGAGAATGAGTGGGCGCTGGAAACAGTGCAGTGCGGCAGAAACTTCGTTTCCAGCTGTGTCCAATTGACTTTGTACTGCCGTGAGGAACCCACAAGAGTATCAGGTCCTTGTTTGGGTTCCTGCCTCCTGAAGCTGTAGCAAGTTCACATTTGGCTGGAATCCGTTAGATGCAGTGGAATCTAAGTGATTCAGGTTCCCTATCTGGTTCTTGATATTAAGTTTGTTAGATCATCAAAACACAAGGCAAAGATATTAAAAACCTATCACTATCTTTTTAGTAGCTAGTAGCTTCGTGCAACTACTATTTTGGTTTGGACATCTTGTAAGCTTTGGACCCATTTTGGGATTTTATTTATATATTAGCCACTAGGCAGCCTGCCTAGTGGTAGATTTGCTAAAAAAAGGATTGAATCATTAGATGATGGTATCATGTATATTCTATAGCGTCCATGAAAAGCTAAAGTAATAAAAAATACCATGAGCCGCAGATCGGAAGATAGCTTAAGCCTACATAAAGGCTGATTAGAAGGAAGAGGAAACTAAAGAGTTACATCAACTAAGTAAGTTAGGAGTTTAATTATTGGACCCAGAAAATTATAGAAACCGTGATTTGGGACATTACAGAATCACTCTTAATATCAGAGATACAAGAAAGATAGTACAGTAGCCATATTCTATAACGGCTTTACGATAAAGCCAGTTAGAAGAGTACCGGCCTTAGAAGAAGTCATTATGAAGCTCCCATCGGATTGTGTATGCACTAGAGGTGCAAGTATTATAATAGAGCATCAAGTTGTAGATGTGAATTATACTTATGTGGAAGGGAGATCATGAAAGATATAGAAGATGTTATGCGAGATTTTAAGGTAAGGTAAAGGTGAAAAACGTACGAGATACTCAAGTGCAAAAGGTTGTGAATAGTCTATACTTCAGATAGAGGGCTAAAAGTGTGGGGATTCAATAACCAGGAATGATAGCGGCGTCTTTAGTGGCATATCTTCCATCCTATGGTTTTTAGGTATCGAAAGGCTTAGTCAAGAGAGTAAAGAAGAGTTAGAGAGGATGTGATGTCTCGCTTGATGTTCCAGAATAACACAAGGAAATCTATGGTGTAAGCGAGTGGAAGGAAGGTTGCGAGTAATACAAATGGATATGTGTAGGTCGCAAGCTAAAGTATGGTAGAGCGACAAGGTTTTAGGAAGACATGATTAAGGATAAGGAAAGGCGAGTAAGAAGGTAACAAAAATGGATAAGTCCTCAGGATTAAGCCCATGAAAACCAGAGAGCTGGTGGTTTCTCTAAATTATATAAAGCTCAGTATAGCCTGAATGAACTCAAAAGAATCTAAGACTAGTAGCATTTAGAGAAGATGGAATGCTGCCCTGGTAGTAGAATGAGGGTGTAATTATGATAGGTAAAGGATGACGTTTGGGCCTTCGATTGAAATGATTTGGAAAAAAAAAGGAAGAAGAAAAGATTTCACGGAGGGCACGGGATTAGAATACCCCCCCCCCAATAAGGTGAATCATATTGGGATACTATGAAATACGGTTATGGAAGTATATTATCGACCCTAGGTGGATTGGGCAAGTCACTTCAAATGTTCCACGATGCAACGTGAGCCCTAGTGATTACGTAAGAGGTTTCAAGTTATCAGTAATAGATTGTAGATCAATATTGAGGTGAATCAATAATAGATGGATAAGTTCCAACGTATGAGAGGAGATAAGGATTCTATCCTTTAGATGAACAGTAATAGGGAAGCATTGAAGGACTTGGATTTTATACATCTATGATAAGAAGCAACGAGAGTAACCTGGAGTTTGGTAGCAAACCTTAGTAATGATAAATCGAAGTAAGAGTTATGGTAGTAAATTCATGTGGATAGATAACCGGGTCTATGAAATAAGATATAGCAATATTCGTAAGTTCAACAAAGTACCGAGCGAAGAACTTAAATATACTTATAGATGCCCAGAGGGACATCTTGTCAAGCTTTGTATATGTTTGCAAAGTAAGGCCTAGAGATTGGCTAAAAGTTGGAGGAAAAAGGAGAGAAGAATCGTATAGGTGCACTTACAAGGAAAAAGTCGTACAGGCTGCGTGACCGAAGGTAGCAACAGTCACGAGATTGGAAGAATTTCGACCACAGGTCGTGGTGTGAGAAGGAGACCAAAAGGGGAAAATTCCCTAGACTTTGGATTTATGCACAGAACAATTGCCTAAATGGCAAGGACAGTTTAAGAACCTCTCGTAAGAGCTATCTGATTATGAGACCAATAAATGCATTAGTCAACATTCGAGGACGGATAATCCAAAGGAGGGAATGATGTTACGCCCCACAGTATTACATCGATGTTACGCTCCGCGGTATCATATTATGACGATGTTACACCCTGTAGTATTGTACGTTGAATTTGTCGTAAGATAATTGACATCAGTTCAAGGACAAGATTATTTGGAGATTATAAGTATTATGCTATTTTCAAGCAAGTGACAAGTAAATTCGTGAAGGTGAAAGGGTACGCGGATCCAAGAAAATAAGTTTCATCGAAGTTTGTCGATTTGGGATAAATACGGTCCGAGCTATAATACCTGATATTTATGGACTAGTGCCATACAAGGTACCACATGACCATAATAGTAAGGTGTATAAAGTGTGTTAAAAGTAAGTAGTATTTTAAGTAATTTGAGGTAATTCTTAATTATGTAAATAATTGGGTTAATTAATAATTTTGGTGGGAAAATTAACTAAGAAATTAAGATTCTGGATAAGGCCAAAGGGGCCCCAACGTGGAAGCCCACAAATTCAAAAATGTTGACTCTTAAGGCACCTTTCAAGGTGGCACAAATTTGTAAAGTTTTGTGACACCAAATCTACAAAGTGGGCCCACACCACCAAGACTTAAAAGTCTTTCTAATTCACAAAATTGGATTCTTACAACTACTGTGTAACGTGTAAGGCTTCATCAAGATAAGAATTTGCATTAGCAACGTGAATGGCTTCAATCTTTCATACAAAGACTACTTAATGCTATAGTAACGTGGGATTTGCGATCCCAAGGGAGTACGGTGCAATCTTTCTCAAGAATATCATACGGATTTTCTCCTACTTCGATCCGCCGTTATGTGTTTTATCACAAAAGAAGTGTGTTAGAAGAATTTTCAAAAGAATCGGTACAGGTATGTTAAGGCTATCCTACCAATTAGAAGGTCTGAGACGACCCAGAAAGCACTTGATCATATCATGATCTGATTTGTAAGCCTACTTGGGTCTTGAGTATTTACTTGTAAGAACGGAATTCTTTGTTTTGTAATGGATAGTTGCAACTCCGTAAAAAAGAATTCAGTCAAATTTTTCGCACTTCGGCGGCGGATAGCAGCATGGGCAAAGCACTCTGCTGCGGTGAGCAGCCGGTTCTTATTGCATTCACCAAGATAGTCTTGCTCGCTCCTGAACTCTGCGGCGAGTTCAGCCACCACCTCCGGGTCTGAGCTCTACTCGAGCGTAGTCAGCCAGCTTCGTGACTTTGCTTAGCTTCCAGCGTTGCAAAGGGATAACCTTTCACTACCTAGGCGGCCTTATTTCTTTTTGGCGTGATCTATACGACACGAATGAAATGAGCAGATGTACAACTTTCATAAATGACTCTATTCATAGAAGTATTAGAGATGCCTATGTTCTTGAATTCCCATATGTCTTATTACTCTATCATTTGTTCATGGGTCTCAGAAAATACGTAAGTTGATAATGTTTGTTTCATGATATTAATCAGAGATATAATGGTCTTATGACGTTCCGAGAGATTTTATTGATGTACTTCCCATGCATTGCATTCATTTATACATGTACATTGACCCATGACCAGACGGTATTATATACGCGTATGTATATATATATATATATATATATATATATATATATATATATATATATATATATATATATATATATATATATATATATATATATATATGGGAGAAGGTTACGACGTTATATACCACCACCTGATCAACTGGTATACGTTGATGATTTTGGCCACAGTGGCCGAGATGATATAATGGGATGCCCTCAGAGGCTTGATGATGTTATGAACACATGTACCTATGCACGACATGACATTTATACGCATATGCCTGACACTATATGTATTTCATGATTTACAGAGTTGTCCAGACTTACAAGTTGAGTCATTTACTCCACGTTTCTACCATGTCTTTTATATACTTATTTATGTGCCTTACATACTCGGTACATTATTCGTACTGACGTCCTTTGTTGGGGATGCTGCGTTTCATGCCCGCAGGTCCTGATAGACAGGTCAAGAGTCCTCGAAGTAAGCTATCAGCTCAGCGGAAGATGTTGGTGCGCTCCATTTTTCTCGGAGTTGCTTATTTGGTCAGTATAATTAGGACACGTATAGATTGGTATGGCGGGGCTCAATCCCGATCTTTTTGATACTTATGTGCTCTTAGAGGCTTGTAGACAGATGTCATGTATATGGATACTTGTATGGCCTTGCCGGTCTATGTTTTGAGTTTACAAATGATCATGTTGGCCTTATAGGCCCGTATGTCACATGTATAAGTTTTATATCAAGTTGGGTCGCTTTATATTGAGTATTCCCCTATGTTTATTCTGGTTAGCCCATGACGGCCCATTTGGCCCATTTCCTAATGAAGTACGATAAGAAATATATGTTATGCTGGTGCTCGGTTGAGTAAGGTACCGGGTACCTGTTGGGGCCCATAGGTTTGGGTTGTGACAGAAAAACAATGTAAAAATGAAGAAAAAAAAGTCGACCATCTTAAACAAAATAATTACATATTAAGAAAATGCAATAAATGGTAAAGAATTGTTCTCATTCACTAAAATCCATAGTGCTTTAATTTTTTTCAAAGCACCCTAATGAATTCTTTTCTTTTCTTTTTCTTTTGCCTAAAGAGATGAGTCAATATATCCTACCAAATCCTATTTTCTAACTCAAACTTTTAATCCTTTCGTCTTCTCCCTTCTCTCTCTTAATTTCTTGTTCCCTAAAAGACCTTATGTACCCTTCTCGCTATTTTTCACCTTTTTTTTATCCTTTTGTGGTGGGATTGGAATAGGAAAACAAGTGATGATACCATTCAAATATGATTCTTGGACTATCAATATTCTAGTAACGAGCTCTCAATCTTATCCACCACCTTGTGAATTTATTATGGAGATTGACAAATTAAGGACAACCATATAATATGTTCATGCTCTTCACGTCTTTGGCTAATTAGTTCCTCCTTTCTTGAGCTAGCTGTTGTTGGGCATCCTTAATCATCTGTCCCACTTCCTCATTTTCTGGTGTCTCCTTCACCAATGTTTCACATTCTTGTATGCATGCTTCCCATTTTCCCATCTGGTATATATATGGCACATAAATTAGTGCACATCATCGTCAATATTATTTTTTTTAAAACAGAAAAAAGATCAAATAAATGTCTTGTTTTCCATTCATAGATTAAGGGTCAACTATGATTTTGTACTAAGTTGTGGTCAGCGCGTTGAGCACCATGACCATGTCAATTTAAGATAGCTGCAAATTTTTTTCAAGGACAGATTGTTCTAAAAAGAATAATATATTTAGATTACAAGAATAGAAACATCTATATGTTATCATGAATTCTGACATTAAAAATAAAATTTTAATATTTAGAAAAAAAGAGCACAAAAATAGTATAAATTAATACTTTATTTTATATCTAGAAATTAAAAAAATTGAAAAAAATGCGTAAAAGAAAAAAGAATAATTTCTCAAATAGTAATGTCTCATATAAATATCACCGAAAGAATACATGAAATTTGGTACCATAATGTTGTGATTCGGTGAGTACTTATTCAGCCATCCGGTCAAAAGAACAAGTTTCAAGGGCTAATGTTATATATTCTTTCTTTCTTTCTTTTTAAAAGCAAAATTAGAGAAGTTGAAAGTGTCTTCTTGCTACCAAACAGGACAAACCTAAATTATTATGATTCGCTGAATATGTTGAACTAATTAATAGGTCAACCAATCTTTGGGTATATAGTACTATAAATATGGAAATGTCATTTCATGATTGATAAAATAAAATTCTAATTAGTTCATCACACGTTCCAACTAGTGTCAAAGCATAAAGAAAATTAGAAATTACCTTAAAATAACAATCAGCCTTCCTCAACCTAGCCTTGGTAAAAGATGGTCGGACAATAAGGGCAGCATTGCAATCCTCAAGTGCTTTCTCAAATTGGCCAAGTTTTGATCGACAAGCTGCTCTATTACACAATAAAACTGAGTTGTGGGGGTCATGGTCTAGTCCTTCACCATAAGCAACACTTGCATCTGCATATTTTCCAGCTTTGAAAAGCTCATTACCCTTTGTTCTAGCATTTGCTACTGCCCTTGTCCTCCTAGCTACCGTGTTTACTTCCTTGTTGTTCCCATCTAGCTGGGCTGCTCGTTGAGCCGCTGCTAGGGCATCATCGATCCTATCACGTTATAATCATAACTATTAGCCAACGACTGAAAAATAATGGTTTAGTCGATTCTCAGTATTTGACTAGAATTTGTCCGTATAGAATTGGCTCAAACTAGTTTGAAATTGAGACATAATCGATCGATTGAGTCTGTGTTGTTTTGTAAATTATATAAGACAATCGTTCGTAGAGGGATGGAGGCATTTAATCATATACATGAATATTAAATAAACAATATCTTTAAATCCTTGAGGTCAATTCTCAAAGCTTGTTTGATTTTGTCTTATAAAGTGTATAGGAAAATTGGAAGTCCAAAAGAAAGATTAGTAGGAATTCAAAAAAATTGGAAGTAGGAATGTTGATTGAGACTGATTTCAATATGTCAAATTGCACCTAACGACCAAATCCATACTCAAGTACTTATCTTTTGGTTTCTCTTTTCTCCTACACAGTTTTCCCTTTAGAGTTGTTAGCTAATTAAAACACTTTCTTTCTCTATAATTATCCAATAGTATTAATTATTCCATTTCTGTCTCAAAATCTTGTCATTGGCATCTCTAGGTAACATAACTAGGGCCTAGGATAAATCCACTATATCATTTATTTAAGGGAAATGGAGGTGAAATGTTGAATGGTTTGAATAGTTCCTTTTCCCTCCAAAGAAAAAAAAAACGAAAAATATTGTTTATTTAGTTTTTCTAAAACATGAATACCAACCTGCCAGCAGCCAAGTCAACTTGAGCTTGAATGACTAGCAAGCCTGCATTGCCAATAGGGCCAAAGAATTTTGTACATTCGTCCAAATCAAAATTCGGACCATTCTTCAGAGTTTGATCTGCTTCATGGTATCTATGTAGCTTCACCAACGCCTCAGCTTTTAAAGCAAATATCTTTTTTTTTTCCAATAAAGAACAAAAATTAGCATGTGTTATAAAGAAAATAATAGCAGATTCTTGTGGTTTAATTAGTAACGTAGTTAACCTGGGGTGCAGAATCAGCACCAGCCGATATGGCGAGGACAGTTTCTTTTAAAATAGTGTTCCAATCTCTTTGCCTTTTGGCCTCAGTGCACTTGTTGAGATGAATTTGAATATTTTTAGCCTTTGTTACAACATCAGGATCAGCTTCTGCTCCTGCTTGTTTGTAATGGTACATAGCCTTCTCTGCATCTCCTAATCTAAACACAAAAAAGCATAGCAATCTCCAAAATTATAAACTAAGGGATCATGAAATTTACGATGAAAATTAGCGGGAAAAAAATGTGTGCATTTACCTGACAGATAAAGTGGCTAAACGATTATGAGCTCTTTGATAATGAGGATCAATTGTGATAGCTTCTCTGCACTCAAAAACAGCTTCAAGGAGCCTTCCTAAAGCGGTCAAAGCAGCGGATTTGTTGCTTCGATACGAAGCCTTATTAGGATCAATGGAAATTGCAGCATCATACAAAGCCAAAGCCTCAGCAAATCTTCCATTCTTATAATCCTCATTTCCAAGAATCTTCAATTGCTCAGGGTCCATTCTTGTGGAAAGTGCACGACAAAGGGAAACAGAACCGCCTGTTTTCCCCTGCTCGTGATCACCCTGTTTCTTCACCACATTTCCCATAACACTCGTCGAATATTTCCCATTATTCTGTGGTGCTGGTGCTGGTGCTGGTGCTGGTGTTGTTGGTTCTTCTTTAGCGGTTCTTGGTAAATAATCAAGAACATGATTAGCTGTTGAAGTTGTTGTGGAACCAGTACCATTGCTCCCACCTTGCTGCCTAATATTACCCAAATTTCCAAACAACATAACATTGCTCGACGATGCACGGACTAACGTATTAGCACCCTTTGATCTTTGATGATCCTGGATCATGTTTTCCAGCTCCCCTGATATCCCTGTTGCGGCTTGAGGTACTTTTCTTCCTTGATTATTATATCCTTGTACTATCTGACCATTTTTCTGTTGATTATGAATAGCTTTATTCTGAGCTGCTGCTGCTACTGCGGCCTTGGATTGGTTTGGATTAGGCCTTGAGATGATCCTGTCAGCTTGTTTCTCCGATTGGTTCTCACGAGATTCTAAAAATGCCTCGTTGGAACCATTGCGATGCCTTTTAGAATTTTGAGTACTAGAAGATCTTGTTACATTGTTAACATTGTTGGTATCTTGTGTAGGAAGTGAGCCTGTGGATGTTGATCTTCTTGTCCAAATGTTTCTCCTTCCAAAAACAGCATTCAACAGGCCACAACCTGTTTTCTTTTCAGGAGAAATGTCTCCCATATTTGATGTAATTGAGATATGTTTCAATGTTTTCTTGGATTCTTTTTATAGAAACTGGTGATCAAGAAATAGGGGTAATGTGACACAACATGCACAAATCTTGGAAATATACTTGTAGGCCAAGGAAGAAACAGAGAACTCACCTAGAAAATGAAGGACCCATGTACATAAAAAGAAGTTATTACATTTAGAAATTGTATAAAGGAGATTGATTGTGGGGTAAGATGCAAACAAAAATGGTTAATGCCCCCCAGGAGAGGAGTTCATAATTGTCAGAATCTGTTTGTTTCTATATGATCTCCTGGAGTGCTTGGCTTAAACAATAATATCTTTCTTTTTGTTTTTTTGGTTTTCTTTCTCTCTCTTTCTTGTTGAGGAAAGATGGATATGGAATGATTGCATGAGAGAGAGAGAGAGGAAGAAGAGAAATGGTTTGTCAAAAATAATAAGGAAAAAAAAAAGAAGAAATAATTAACTAACTTTTTTAGGGAGTAAATGACAAAAAAAATAATAGTAGTAATGATGAATGTATGAAAAACGAATTTTTCAACACCTTTTCTTCCAACTTTTTTTCTGCTTTTGTGTTTGGTTAAAATTAAAATTGTTAATTTGTGTTGGTTTGGTATTTGTGGTGTCAAAGGGGAGACCAAAAGACCCGGTCATGGAACAAAGGAGGATCTCAAGATATTTAGAAGAAAAATAATTTGAAGGCTATTTAGTACACCCACTTTCTTCGAAAAATCTTTTATTTCATTCTCTCATTTTTCTCTTTTCTTCTATTCTTTTCTTTTTTTTTTGGTCCAAATACTCAATGTGACGCCGTTAGAATACAATAGTTTCAACAAATTCCCATTTGGGAGAGGAGTTCACGTAGGAGACTTCGAGCAGCTCACGTATTGTAGCCAGCTATTTTGTAATCGAAAAGATTTGGAAGATAGATCGACCTACTCTTGCATTATTCTTTTTCCAAGTCTTTAAATGGTCAAAAAACATTTATATTCTACTAGCAATAATAATTGTTCCATTGACTTCCATTTCTCATTAAAGAAAAAGCAAATAGTAACATTGCTTTTCTCTCAGCTCACTTCTTAAGCTGCTTTTCCTCATTAAATGTCTTTTTGTAGATTTTCAAACCGTCAACAAATAATCTCCATGAATGCATTGATACACTCATCAATTTTTTAACTTTTAAAATATAACTAATATACCAAAAGAACTACGTTAAATTGACTTTAAGTAAATTCTGTGTTTAGAAAGTTTGCAAAAAACAGCAGTTAAAGTAAAATTTATTTAACTCCCTAAAATAATAAGTGCCTTTCTATTTGGGACATTTATTATGGCATATCAAGCCATTCCACGAGAAAGATATAGGAGACAAAAACTCAAAAACCAAACTTCGATCACATCCGTCAATTCATTCTGATTTAAAAGCTTACTATTTTATTTTCCAAATTGTCTGCATGTTTTTACCACCGCCTGAATTTCAGATTTTACTGTTTTCAATATCCTTGACCACTTCCCTTTTTGTTCTCCTAAGCCAACAGAACGGTGTAAAACATCAGCTATTTTGTCAACAACGGGGCTAAAATTTATGCCCAAAACCATTCAAGAAGTTACCGCTGGTGCAACATCAAAGTCCTCGTCAGTAAATGTTTTCAAACTTGAATGTGTCTGCTCTCAATTTATTATAGAAGGAAACTTTTGCTAGGCCACTATGCAACCAACCAACCACCTACTTCGCATTACCCATCGACCAAGTCAAAATTCATTAGGCCCAGAACAGAAAGAGGTGGGAAGTGGGAACAGGTATTACCAATTCATTTTGAAAGGGGACGGAAAGGATAATAGAAGAATTAACAATCTCTCAGAGAAAATGTACCAGAACCAATTTCCTTTATCTGAAGGGATTGCTAGTTTTTTTCCAGCATCTGACGTCTTAGCATCAGAGAAATTTCTGTTCAAAACTTTTTCGAAACTACTAAATTGTTGACAGACAATTAGCCCACCTCAGCAAACTCAGATAAAAGTCCAGGATGATGGACCAAAATTGAACTTCTGGCTGCTCAGAAGCGACATGCACCTGTTGAGGGACATGTAAATGTTAAAAGTGAGAACGAATAAAGTCCGTACAAGCATAAGCATTTCACTGAACAAGTTAACATGTTAACCAACCAAAAAAGTTCCATGGACTTACTATAAAAGTTCTAGACAGCCCCTTCCCTGATTCAACCCCCTCCCCCAACCAAAAACACCCTCCAAAATCACTTCGAGAAAAAATGTCATATTGTACAATGTGCACAATCAAGAATTCAGTTAAAATTCAATAAGCTAGGGTGAAGATAGATACACTTCACCAGAAAGAACAAATAAACAGATTGAGGGTTCAAGCAAAAATATCACAAAGAAGCAGGTATTAGGAGATTGCATCTCCAAAATAATGGCCATGCATAAATCATTCCATCAACTTCGCCATGTAAGCTTCATATTCTATGTGAGCTCACATTGTTGGTCTCAAACACAGCAAAAAGAGGAAAGTTACTTTAGGTTGATAGACAGTGTAATCAATTCATTCTGAATCCTCGTAATAATGTATGTCCAGACATACTCTCCTAGACACACGTCATCTTGGTTTATTGAGTATTTGAATATAGCAGCTCCAAATAGAGCGAAATGGATTATAGGATTGATACACTAGCCTACTCTACTTGGTACCGCTCATATGCTAAACTCGGGTAGTTATTCAAATTCTCTCAAGCTGAAGGTACATGGTGATAAAAGTTTAAAATGGAGCAAACAAAGAAGATAAAAAATTAATATATAGAATGTTCTTCTGCGACTGTGACAGCAGAAAACTGAGGATCAGGCTGCTTTCCAATTCTTTAACCAATTGGAGGATTCCCAATCCATTTGTTAAGTAATTCCGCGTCCAAATCTTAATCAATTCGTGGCTGAACTTTCATTCTGCAGCCAACCCTTTTTCTCTTCCTTTTTTTTTTTGTTTTTGTTTTTGATATGCTAAACCCCACAGCTAGACCCCACTATACTTCGGAGTCAAGAGTGGTTATTTCCCACTTTGATCCCTTGGTGACTTGAGCCCCCAAACTCAAGGTTGGAGACATTTGTCAGGAAAAAAGAAAGAAAAATGTGTTCTACAAGCTAAAAGCTATCTGCTATAGCAGTTTGATTAAGTAATGATAGAATTTAAGTAGCCATCATACTTGGGACAATAAACCAATTTGGTGACATTTTTCATATTATGTTGTTAAAAATATAAAATAAAACTAAAAGCATATGGATCAACCTTGTTCTTGAACTTTTTTTACAGAAACGTAAAACTAGACTAAATCAAAACAAAGCAATGAAGAAGCTGGCAGCATCATTATTGGGAGAGAACAGAATATTAAATAAAAGAAACACCTCTTCCCATGTCTCTCATATGGGTTTCATAATTATAGAACTAGTTCTATAACCAATACGTGACTTAATGGAGTCCTTATTTTCAAATAATATTTCGTGAGGTTTTTGGTGCACTTTTTTTTCTTGGCCTGAACAATTTATGATATAATCAGCTATCTTTTCCCTTTGGGTGTATCTGTGTCTGTTTCCATTATTGACAAAATTTAGCAGGATTTTTGTCACTAGTTTGCCATTGTCATAATTAATACTTGTAGGTTCATATGCAGATAAGTGAAATCTTAGCCATAGATTGGCTGAGAGCATGATGATGCAACATTTAACAAAAGAATTGGAGAAGAGCTGGACGGCAACAGAAGACAAACAAGATTTTTTTTTAAGATAAGACAAAGAAGGTTATTGGCACTTATGTTTATTTTGTGAATTGAAGTTGTACATCTAGAACAAAAAAACGAAGTTTGACACTTTGAAACCATTGAATAAAATATGATGCTGAAAAGATGTATGTATGGGTAATATAAGAACCTAACCGAAGCAAGATTGACTTAATCTGCCAAATTCACCCCGGAGTATCACTACGTTTCGGCTTTCTTTAGCTCCTTGACAATTGCATTCGCCAGTTCCTCCCCATTGTATTCCACGCCGAAGCATCTAACTACTTCCATTTTTGGATTCACCAAATACCTATTAGATTAACAACCCATTTATACTCTGACAGAACTGTTCTACCGCAGGTTAAAAAAAACTGAAAGAGTTTACTCTCCTAGAGAATGCTGCATATTTGACAATATAGGACTTGAGGCTTACATGTTGTGAGAAGATTCCACCAGATAATCATCTCCTTCTTCATCAACCTTCTTAAAGTACACTCGGTATTCTTGTGCCATCTGTCTAACAGCAGTAACTGGTCCAGTTAATCCCATTATTCTTGGGTCAAACTCTGCATTTCATGCAAATAAAATTAACAAAGATAAAGTGTAGGAAATAAACATCAAATAAAAGGACAACTATATGATTGAATCCCTTTCTCTTCAAGCCCACAACCCCATGTTGGGATCTCTTTCCACAACTCTTTCAGTAAGACATCCATTCCAGAACCTGGAGAGAGAAAGAGATCAGAGAGGCTAGATGCAGACCTTTAAGATAAGCTCGAAGTTGTGAAGGCGTATCGCGTTGAGGATCAATTGTGACAAATACTGGGAGAATTTTAAGATCCTGTTTTGACCCTTGTTTAAGTTAAGCAAAAAGGACCATAAAGCAAAAAGAAAATTAAAACATCATAAACATAAGTCAGTAAATAAGAAAATATCATTTCTATTCAAAGAAACTGAGTAGAACCTAGAATATCAATAGCCTTAGCCATCTTCTGGACTTCTGCTGGACCAACATCAGGAGATGAAGTATAACCAAAATAGAGAAGAACCCAGTTTCCATGCAAGTTGCGCTCCGTTACCACACGACCTTCTATGTCAATTAAACTGAAGGGGCCTCCAATTATTGGCCCTTGGATTGCACTTCTTTCAAATTTCTCGCCTTGACCTGAAATGAGTGAAGCTTTATATTCACTAAATAAAATTTATGGCACTAGAAAACTAATCAGAAAGTAAATGCTTCATAGAAAAGCATGATTCAAGTGGACAAACATATCATCATTTTCTGATAAGGAAAAATAAGTAGAGAGGAGGATCGTGCAACAAACTCTTTTATTTAAACTAGAAAAGATACTGAGATTGCCATGAGAAGTCTACGGACGAGCTCATTATGTCTCTTTTTTGGTTCAGTATAAGCAGGACTCTGGGAAGAAAATACAGTTAGCCTGTAGTTCTGGTAGATGGAAGTTTAGCAATCAAAAGAGGCTTTAGTTCTTGCACTCCATTGTGAAATAACAAATAAAGGCTGATAACCACTTTTAACTAGGATATATGATAGCTTTCAAGCATTGTCAGTACATCTGTTCAGGTACAGAAGCTGTACAATATATGGATCGTCCATTAATCATGTCTTTTATGAAATGTCCATTCTGAAAGAGGACTATACCACTTTTAAATTCACTGCACACATACGTCCTTAATTTGTTTCTTCTTTTTTTGTTTCCATCTAAGAGTTAGTTCCAGCATTCAACGGCACATGAGTGATTGAGACGTACTTGATAGAAAGGCACATAAAGTAGTTCCAAGGTCAAGTCTAATTGATAGAGCTTTGACAAAAATATTCCGGAGCCCCACCTTTTGGAATTGCTCTCCTTTCATCATTATAATGAAGAAAAAGGATCAGTCCACCAAATCCTCCCAAAAGAGCTCCAGGCTGCAAGAGTAGAAATAAGATGAAGAAAACTAAGTTAAAGGAGGCAAAGACATTATGCACAGAGCAGATGCAATAACAGTCACAAAGCAACATTCAGTAGGAAAATGGAGTTCAAATGCAATACTAATATATAAGGGTTCCAAGATTTTGGTGTTGGGGATGGTCCAGTTAATAAAGGCTGATCATTAGTCTTTCTAGCAGATCTCATGCAGCTGGCTGAATGGAAGCGCTTAGGTGTGATAAACCTACACATGAAACAAGTAATCAGAAAAATTGCAATACACTCCAGAATTTGAAAATGAAATGGTTTACTTTTATCCTTTCTATTCTACATGTATTTGAATCTTTTTCTCATTTCTGTTTTCTCTTTTTTATTTCCCCTTTCTTCTTTTTTTTCTTTT